ATATATATATATATATATATATATATATATATATATATATATATATATTATATTATATTATATTTAAATATAATTATATATGCCCACATAGTAAAAATTGGTTCTAAGTATGTCCAGTAGATGTATCACGAGGGATTTAATGATATCCAGAACTCGTTCGTAAAAATATATATAATATATAGTATATTATATATATATATATATATATATATATATATATATAATATAACCAAAATATATATAATACATATGCCGAGGACATCTGTATGTCTGCTTTTTAAATGTCCATAAGAAGTAATAATTGAATATTAGCAGGATGTGCGTAGATAATAATATTTGCTCCTACCAATATCCTGAAGATGTCCTTGCATATTAAAATTGATTTTAGCCCAAGTAGCAGACAACAGTGATAATGACGTGAATTTTACGTCGTTTATCCTTCAAATTAATCAAACAATAACGTTTTTTTGACGATCATAAGTTACAGGCCAATGACGTAATTTTTTTATATAAAATAACTCAACAATGACATATGACACTGGTTAAAAAAAATATCTTGCAGAAACGATTGCAACTAGTAAGTTTATGTTGATTTGAAATGAAATTTAGCTCTTTTATTAGATTTCTTACTATTTTCGCACCTGGAAATTTATTCAGAACTGGTCGGCCGCGAAATCGAGACCTCACACACCTTCAGGTTCCTAGTCTACCACCTTAGCTACTGCACTATTTCTTCAACTGATACTAAGTGTATTTTATCCCCATGTGCAGCCGAAGCACTAATTATAATTATAATATTATTTAGTACAGCCACAAAAATAAACTATTTATAGTTCTAATTATTCCATATAAAAGAGAAGTTAGAAATACAAGCATAAAATATTTAAGTAAAATATATTTACCTAGATGTTGATATTACAATTTAAAAAATATTTATAGAAATATTTTTGAAACGTTAAACGTAATGGGATAATTTCTTTTTTTTCATTCAAAAGACGTTTTTTTAACGTTTTTTAATGTTTTGAAAAATGTTTTGATTTTTAATATGTAATAAACGTTTATTTTAACGTTCAGAAAATATTTTTTAAATGTTAAACGTTAACATTTAAAAAAAATATTCTTTAGATGTTAAAATAAAAGTTTATTAAATATTAAAAAACAAAACATTTTTCCAAACGTTAAAAAACATTATTTTAATTTAAAAAAATAACTGACCCCATTATTTTTAACGTTTTAAAAATATCTTTTCAAATGTTTTTCTTTTTAAATATTGTTTGCCTATTGAGTAACAAAATGAATTTCGTCTATAACATGGTAAATTAAACGTTATCATAACGTCATTTTTCAAAGTCATTTTGACGTCTTAAAACATGACGTCTTAAATACACGTCCTTAAAGGACAAATGACGTTACTAATCAATAGTGGTAACATATTGGGTGTTTCCGATAATACCTCTCCGAGTCATTTCCCTAAAGCAGAAATAAGTTACAGACATCACCATCTACTACTATTATGTGATTCATGACAACCCAAAACTACTTAATGCTGTCTCACGACTACAAGCAGTGGGTTAGGCAGAACAATACCGTGATAAATACACGAGATAATTTTGTAAAATTGTATTATTGATTATAAAATCATCTGGTGTTTTCTAATAAAATTTATTTATTCTTTATTTATTTAGTATTCATTACAACTAAACATTTTTAGATAAAAAATGGATGTACTAGAAATGTGGGAAATATTTTTTGATTACCCATCTGATGAAGATGATGAGGATAACTTCTAACCTCCACGGGAACATCATATAAAGATCCCACATTTTTTTTGAAAACATTGTTGTAGCATATTCATTGACAGGTAAAAGAATTTGAAATTTTGCTGTACTATAATAATTTATTGTTTTAAGTTTATACAAATGTTCTTGTATTATATGTTTTGATTACAATAAACTATATTAACATTATTAAAATAGATTTTAAATCAATCTTGTTTTGTCATCAATATACCCTAATGGCATAATTTATTATGAACTTGCACATGCACGAGTCATGTAAAAACAATACTTGCAAATAGGTTAACAGTGACTTTTTATGACAGTGACTTTGGGTTGTCATGAATCACATAATAGTAGTAGATGGTGATGTCTATAACTTATTTCTGCTCTAGGAAAATGACTCGGAAAGATATTATCGGAAACACCCATTGACGTCAAAATAACGCTTGCTGTCTGGGGACGTTCCTTATACGTTCCTTGGATAAAGTTTGTTGATAATTGTCTTTCTTCTTATAAACATAATTTCTTACTTTACATGTAAATAATGTTAATATATATGTAAATTGTCTGTGTTAGATATGTGTTAATAAAGGAAATCACTACATTTTATCAATAATGATTAACGTTGTTTCGAGTTAAAATAGAACATTCTGCAGATGTCATGAGGATATATGATATAATTTGTGGCAAAGAAATATGTTCTCTGGTAATCCTATGAATTACGTTTCAGTTTGGGACCATTCTGATCAAATTAGGATATCCTACGAATCTATTGCTATGTGGGTGATCATATGGAATTTTTATGATCATATATGGAATTTTTTCCCGGCTATCTATTGCATCTTCGCCTTACTAAATGTATGAGTCTACTATATACTAAAACTCACACGGAACAAAAACGTCCAATGAACGTCCAGTGGACACCCATAATGGAGATTCAAAACTTCCAATGGACGTAACGTCTATAAGACCTCCATTAAACATCCACATGTCCGCTTCTTAAACCTCCATTGGACATCCATCTATCTTGCATGGGGTTTCTGTGAACGTAAAATGGAGCTCGTAATGGACATTTCCTGGAGCGTTCCTATGATCTTATATGGATGAATTTTGAAAATTGTATTTAGTAAACGCTAGATATTCCTGGAATATTCACAGAATGTTCCATAAATCCAAAATTAACATCCCAAGGATGTCCCAAAACATTCCGGAATATTCACAGAATGTTCAAGGAAGATCCAAATAAGCGCTAAATGTTCCACTTTTTCAGAAATATTGGCGAATGGTTGAAATAAAAAAACAGCGTTTGCTGACTTTACTTGAAATTTAAGATTATTTAATTCCAAATGTTATATCACACTTAAAAATTTTCACTGACACTTCGGACACTTCGGAATTCGAACTTGGAGCTGAGGACTTTTACATTATGAGCCTATTGCTTTAGACACTACACATTCTACTTCTTCGATCAATATAAATTTTTGTGTATTTTGTGTATATATGTTGCAATTAACGCAGTAATATAATTTTTTTATAATATAATTAATTTTAATAAAAATTATATTTTTCGTACTTTTATTATTAATTTAAACCTTAACTAGTGAAGTGAGGTCTACGAAACACCGCACACCCCATTTCAGTCTTAAAATATTTATAATAAATTTTTTTATTGCTGTTATTAAATAGACAAAGTTATAAGAGATCATAAAATTCGAATGATAAAAGAGCACAATTAAAAAGAGATAAAAAATCCATATAAAATATACCATATAATCTTATCATATAAAATTTAATTTAATTAATTAAATTTATATATAAATATATAAATCAACGCTTATTATAAGGAATATCTGTCTAATGTAACCATATACTATATAATAAATGAAATTAGCTAATAACAGTAATTTCTCATGAATTCTTAAAATATCTCAAGTAATGATTTCTAAAATATTCATTATAATAAATTTCTAAGAGATACTTTAGAATTAAACTTTTGTATTGTTAGGAATAGCCCAAGTAAAACATAATAGTCAAAATTATATTAATTTAATTTCTTTTTGGCTAATAATTGACAAATTTATTCAATGTTTGGTCAAAATGACGTCAAATTGATATCATTTTGATTCTTATGTTTTACTTGGAAAGCTATAATGCAATAGAGATTGTACTAAAATTCAATAAAAAATTAAACGTGAAAATCTATTGCATATCCATAATAGATGTACAATGGACGTCCACGATGGATTTTATATGGATATCGATCATCGATGAATTATAGACGTCCATTAGAGATCCATTTATCGTCCACCGAGATGGAGATGGATATCTGGTGGAGCTATGGATGGTCTATGGACATCCAATGGATGTTTTGTTCTGTGTAGGAATGGATACTGAAAAGATAGATAAAATCCCTACGCAAGGTAGGACGTATGAATAGTATGCAAAAACAACACACATACGCAAGGGAAAATGTTTTACTAAATCTTTGCCTTACTAAGTCTATGAGTCTACTTTATACTAAAATGGATACTGAAAAAACAAGCAAGACCCCTATGCAAGGTAGGACGTATGAATGGCATGCAAAAACAACATATGTTTAACACTATGCGAGATGCATTTTTCTTTTTTTTTTAATGTTACTTTTTATTAAATCGGAGAGGTTTCGCCACCCCCTTAACCGGGGGCTTCGCCCCCTGAACCCTCAGTTCATATATAAATGTTTCAATAATACTTTTTTACTTATGCATGTCTAGTATATTTCTAATTCGCGCACTGTTTCTATGTGGCACGAAGTACGCACTGATGCCGCGAGGCATATACACTGGTATTTATTGAGTCCTTTGAGTGTAAACAAGTGTAGATGAACGCGCCTGGAGATGATACGCTTATAAACTATTCTACACCGAAAAAGGACTCAATTAATGAATATCAATGTACATGTCGCTATATATCGTCGATGTGATAGATTTCCTAACCTAACGCGTCAACTTTGTTGGCTAATATCTCTCTACTCTTCATCGAAATCGGAGGTGAGGAAGCTAAACTGAATAATTACCGCAAAAACAGCATACACTTAACATACCATGCGAGATGCATTTTTATATTTTGTTTATGTTATTTTTATCAAAGCGGGAGGAAGGCCTTCAGCCCTTCGTACTCTCCCTGATCTCTGGACCTCTATGGGCGGTATTCATAGTCGAATCTTATTTTAAGACCGTCTTAAGTAATGTCTTAAGATGCAAATACGGCTCTGTGATTGGTTCATGACATCTTAAGACAGTACTTAAGATGATCTTAAATATAAGATTGACTATGAATACTATGAAGACTATGAATACCGGCCTATGAGTCCATGGATCTCATATATGTCGCTGTTATCGTCGGTATGACAGTTTTCCTAACCTTAAAAGAGATCAACTTTATCGATTAATACCTCGCTTCACCGTGAAGAGCAACGATTTTGGTTTACAGATTCGGTTTCTACGCGTCAAAATACACTATCTTACCAAATTTTAACAAAATCGATGAGGTTGGGCCTTTCCTTCACAATTATCCGTATTTTATAATTCTGATATGACTGCGTCATGATCAATATAGAAAACACAAATGTAAAAATTAAATGCAAATAATTCCTTTGATAACAAAATCTCATTTCTTACCGAACACGTTCACAACTTAAATTACACCACTAACAATTGTAAAAAACGCGCACGATTATTAAGTGCAAACGGCCACAATGACAGAAAGAAGCCTAGAAGTGGCCACGCCGGCCTTTTAGCCGACATCGATTTAACGCCATCTGCATCCATTTCACGTTGGAACCATAGGCCGGTATTCATAGTCGAATCTTAAGCCGGTATTCATAGTCCGATCTTATATTTAAGATCATCTTAAGTACTGTCTTAAGATGTCGTGAACCAATCACAGAGCCGTATTCGCACCTTAAGACATTACTTAAGACGGTCTTGAAATAAGATTCGACTATGAATACCGGCCTTATTTCAAACCGTCTTAAGTAATGTTTTAAGATACGAATACAGCTCTGTGATTGGTTCATGACATCTTAAGACAGTATTTAATATGATCTTAAATATAAGATTGGGTTATCCCAGACAGCACAAAGGCCGGTATTCATAGGCCGGTATTCATAGTGAGATCTTATATTTAAGATCAACTTAAGTACTGTCTTAAGATGTCATGAACCAATCACAGAGCCGTATTCACATCTTAAGACATTACTTAAGACGATCTTGAAATAAGATTCGACTATGAATACCGGCTATAGGCTGGTATTCATAGTCCGATCTTATATTTAAGATCATCTTAAGTACTGTCTTAAGATGTCAGGAACCAATCACAGAGCCGTATTCGCATCTTAAGACATTACTTAAGACGGTCTTGAAATAAGATTCGACTATGAATACCGGCCATAGTCCGCTCTTATATTTAATAGCATATTCGACTGGCTCTAGGTTAACCCACTCAGGGCGCCGTTCCACGGAACGGAAATTTTCAGCGGAACAGAACGTGCGGAGTTAGCACCACCAATCATAGCCGTTCCGCTTATCTTTCGGCGCTTTTTTTATTTTCCTTGTGTCCCATGAAGCGGAATACGCGGAAGCGAATCACGCGGAATTATACCAAAAATAGACTTTTTAATATTATTTCTTGTTTTTAATAGTTTTAATAATATTTTATACAAATGATATAATATATGATAAATTAGTAAAGAGTAAAATTAGTTTCTCAGTAAAATACTTTTTACAAAAATATGCAACTATTTTACAATTGGCTAAAACATAATTCCGCTGCCACGTTTACCGCTTCATGGGACAGAAGAAAAAGTACATCAGCGGAATTACGGTGATACATTATGTAGTATAATAAAGTGAGATCTGTTGTGATTAATTTTGGAGAATATATTGTGTGATTTTTGTCGACTGTGGCAATAACCGCATTTTATTTTCTATAAACATATTCACATATTATACATAATTGTTTACTACAATTATCAAAATAATAACATCTTATTACTAATGATCCCTCCACTCATCATTTCTAAACGAAATAATAAAGAATGTCGAAAAAAATATATATACATATATAATAAATGTATAAGAAGCAAATGAGATATGTAAGATATGTTGAGGTTATCCACGACTATCTTTATCTTTTCTGCAAAATTACAGCGGTAATCCTTATAGAAATATCATACTAAGAATCATTGATAATTACTTATTTTCAGTATTAAAAATACTGGATAATAAGTAATTATCAATGATTCTTAGTATGATATTTCTATAAGGGAAGATTATAACGAAACGGCACAAAAAAGAGCAGAACGGCTGTAATTGATCGTACTGGTTCCGCGTGTTCCGTTCCGCGGAGAATTTCCGCCCCGTGGAACGTAGGCCTCTGGGTTATTCGGCCTACGTTTATTGGTACAACAAGTACTTATAAGCTTCATGATTAATTAATAGAGACTTATGATGTCAATGAGAGCGTCCCGATTGACCACGGTACGATTGGACACAACTAAACGATGAAAAGAATTTTCTAGTAAATTACTAGGTCGAACCAATCATTACAATCTGTGTCCAATCGTATCATGGTCAATCGGGTCCCACCCAATGTCAATAATTGCTCCCGGAACGATTAACCCAGGGCCAGTCGAATACGCTATAAGATCATCTTAAGTACTGTCTTAAGATGTCATGAACCAATCACAGAGCCGTATTCGCATCTTAAGATATTACTTAAGACAGTTTTGAAATAAGATCCGACTACCCAGGCAACCAGCTGACGTTGTAATGACGTTAATATAAGATCAGTTTTTGACTCGTTCGACGTTAGTTTATGACGTGATATTACCATAATGATGGCGTGAGTTTGTCTCGTCGAAAATGACGTAAGGTTAATGACGTTTATTTGCGTCATTAACCTACCCTTATAGAAATATCCAGGGTTGGGAAGTAACGCGTTACTTGTAACGACGTTGTTACTATTTCGTTACTTTTTTTTGGTAACGATTTGGTAACGCCGTTACTTTTTTGTATCAATAACAAAAAAGTAACAGCGTTACATTTTCTTTAGTAACGAGTAACGAAATTCATCGTTACTTGTATCGTTACTTTTTTATTATAGTGGCTTCTGTACACAGAACGCGGCAACGCTTGCCACGTGACGAAAGTTTGCACACGATAAACAATTAATGTGCTGCTTTGCGTAAAACCCATTCTACAATAAGCAATAAATCTTAAGTCATAATAAAATTGACCAATCATAGTCGATTATTAGAAGAATAATCCACTGTAATTGGTCAATTTTATTGCGACTTAAAACTTATTGCTTATTGTAGAAAGCCTCTAAAGCGTGGTCTACAATGAGAACTTAAGCCATAAAATTTAAGCTTTAAGCTCTAAACCGTAAGAAATTGACCAGTCACAGTCAATTATTTTTCTTATAATTGACTGTGATTGGTCAACTTCTTACGGCTTAGGACTTAAAGCTTAAATTTTATGGCTTAAGTTCTCATTGTAGACCACGCTTAAGGGGCGCCGCACACGAATTGACATAACAGTAACGTACCGTAAGAATTGACCAATCACTTTGAGTATCATCGAACCGTAAGATCGCCATTTTTGTGAATACTCGATCGTAATTGGTCCATTTTTATGGTACGTCTTACGTTACTGTTATGTCAATTTGTGTGTGGCGCTCTTAAAGCCCATTCTACATTAGTCGCAATCGCAAGATCGCAAGGAAATTGACCAATCATAATTGATTATTCTTCGATCGCAAGAAGAACAATCGAATATGATTAGTCCATTTCTTTGCGACCTTGCAATTTGCGACTAATGTAGAATGGGCTTTATGTCGTTATGCAAGAATGCTTCCCGCTTAAATATCTTATATTTTGTTTTTATATATGTATAATTTATGTACTCTCTCTTACTATTCGTTTTATAAGTCGATTTTAACTTTTTTCTTTACAAAAGTAACGGAAAATAACGATTTTCTTATCGTTACTTTTCAAGTAACGGTAACGCGTTACTTTTTAGAATCAGTAACGAGTAACGGTAACGGGAGCGGTGCACTTGGACACGGTGCATTTGGACACAGCCAATCACAGCACCGTGTGATTAAAGACATTTGTAGGGTCCCTTGGAACAGCGACTTGTGATTGGACTGTGTCCAATTGCCCCGTGTCCAACTGATATACACCCAACGGTAACGAGTTACTTTTTACTGCAAGTAACGGTAACGCGTTACTTTTAAAAAGTAACGTTCCCAACCCTGGAAATATACTAAGAATCATTAATAATTACTTATTATCCAGTATTTTTAATACTGAAAATAAGTAATTATCAATGATTCTTAGTATCATATTTCTATAAGGGTAACGTAACGTAATTAATTTGACGTCTTGTTTATGTCATAAATCACGTTGTAATACGTAAGAAAAACGTAATATAACACGTAATAAATATCTAATATAATACGTAATTAAGATGTATAAAAATTAAAAATACAGTATAAAATGTTTTGTTACAATATATTTATTAAGTAATAAAAATTTATTATTATAATATCACATCTTGACATTAAATGTATTTTAAAATAAAAGAAAACAAAATCACAAATCTTTGTAATCTATTGTAATGTTATCACTATAAAAAAAACATCAAAATGCTACTTTTAAGATAGTACGTCCGTGATTACTCTTATGAAATATCAATTTCTTTAGAATTGATATTTTACAAGAGTATTAGTCGCAGACGAATTATTTAAAAAAAAACTAACTTAAGTGAAATCATCTAAAGTTTGAAAAAAATTTTACTTAAAAATAATTTTTCAAAAGCATCCCTTATAGAAATATCATACTAAGAATCATTGATAATTACTTATTATCCAGTATTTTTAACACTGAAAATAAATAACTATCAATGATTCTTAGTATGATATTTCTATAAGGGAAGCTTATAACGTTTTTGATTTGTTAACTCCCCTTATAGAAATATCATACTAAGAAATACTGAAAAATTATTAGTGATTAAATATTACCAGTAATTCTGTAATTTTTTGTCCAATACTTAATTTCTGGTGAATACTGATAATAAAATCACTGTTAAATATTGATAGTAATCAAATACTGAGAATTATTATGCGAAGGTGAAAAATGAGAAAATTATGTTTAAAAAAATATATTTATATTCCTAATTTTCTCATGTCTCATAAACTACTAGATATCGAAGGTTGTCAACACATTCCAAACTTTCATGAATCCTCCTGCGATAATTGCGACCCCAAGCGGTATACCGCTAGTCACCATCCATGTCCTGACCGCATTAAACTGTTGCTTAACCTCCTGACGATTCGAGCGCGCACGCGGTGACTCTGATGACTCCAACGATGTTTTTACAATTCATGCTTATATAATGTATCTTTATAGTGTTCACAGTACATTATAATATACTTAACAAACATCAAATAATAGTTATATAATTTTTACTTGTTTATTGGATAATTTGTTGATAGATATTGAAACAATGCAACATTCGATATGCGATGAATATTGATGTAATGTAGTGCACCAGT